GAAATAGGAACGACATTAGCTTAAAGATGCAATTACTAAGGAAAAATAATACATAATTATTAATTTTAAACTGAAAATATTTTAATATTTTACATTTGAAATATAGTCTATTGTACGAAACGTGGATACTGAAACAAAATTGGCAAAAGAAGATGGAAAAGATCAACAATTATAGATATAACGCGCTAATTTTTATTTCGTCTGATAACCCATTGGGCTGATATTTTCCAGAAGGGATTGGTCACATTAAAATCACGTGATTGGTCGGAGAAAAAGGCCGGTTTTTAGGGATTTCTACTTTTGACGGCTGCAAGAGATGACGAAGGAAAGAGCGAGCCAAAGAAATCGATTCTCTTATTCGGTTGCTTTTCCTATTGTGTCTTTGACACAATAGGAAAAGCAACTCGGATATTATAGAAAAACAATTTTAAAGAAAAAATACGTTACAATACGTATGATTTACTATAAAATATTCTGACTTATAGAAAGGAAGAAAAATTGTTTAGTTTTTCTTTGTCCTATGTGAGAGATAACAGAAAAAAGCAAGAATTGGATAATTTTCCTCCTTTCAGATGATAATACATACGTAAACATGATTCCAAGAAGTTAGAAGATATAACAGTTAGAAACGGTAGATTAACTAGTACTGATATTAGGGCATCCGAGTTAGAACGTGCAAACCTCCAGTACATTCATCACTGTACACCGTGGACGTAGCTACTAGGCTATGGATGAAAAGCAAACTCTTAGACACTGTATATACAGTGTACAGTGACATAACTACCATAGATGCAAACTGTGCAACTGTAAAGAGACCCAAGTCGATAGGGGCACACTCTGTCAAGAAGAGAGGAAAAAGGCTAGGGTACAAGGTATACAATCATACATAAAAATACAACATATTAGAAATGGGTAATTTCAGTATTCAAAAGGTACAGAAGAGACCAGATGATTACAGGAAGACCTTTATTGCCTCGTTTGCAGAAGGCCTTAAATATGAAGCTCCATTGAAGCATATGTATAAATGTATTTTCCGCATTTAAATAAATTTGCTAAAACGTATACAGACTAAGATTTTAGTTCCTTTGACATTTAAGCTTCATCTTTTAGTATATTATAATTCCTCGCGAGTTATTAATGTAATAAATAAATAAAAATTAATATTAACAGTACATATTTAAAGTAAAACTATATTTTTTGTTATTTAATTAAAATGAGTAAATATAGTTTCGTGTTTAATTTAAAAATTCAAATTTTAATTAATTTTTTAAAAGCTATTTTTTTAAGAGTTTCTATTAAATAATGCGATCGATTTTAGTTTGGAAAATATGAAATTATTCTTCAAATAATTAAGAAACAATTAAAAAAAAAACAAAAGAGTATTCAAAATAAGTTTTTTTCTAACTTTCTTTTCTGTCTTTCTAATAATAAAATCATTAAAATTTTTAATTTTTAATCATTATATAATATTTAAAATATGAATTTTATTATGTTTTTCTTTAGTTTCTTCAGTATTTCGAGAAATAAACGTGTATAAATCTTGAAATTTTGACTATCAACATTTGTTTCACATAAAAATTAATGTAATATAATTTAAATTAACAATCTTATATATATTTTTACCAATTTTATATTTTGTAAAATTGTTAAATTGTTTTTTTAAATTGAATCTTAAAAATTATTCAATCAAAAATGATTAATTCATCTCACTAAACACAAAAGCCTACTTACTTATATGAGTAATATATCAATTGGAACATATAATTTATTGATTAATTTTAAATACTTTTATTCAATTTTATAGTATTAATTGAACAGCAAACAATTTTTTTTCCTTTTGAAGAATTAATAATTGTAAACTCTATTATAATTTAAATATATATCATATTTCTACAGCTCAAAATATAATTAATTATAATGAAAATTTACTTGTTAATTCCATTTTCAATAGAAATTGGGAATTTAATTATTGTATAGTTGTTATTATGTATTTCTAGCTGACAGTTGTAGTAAGTTTTCACGTTCTAATCTTCTTCAAATGTTAAAATATCACTCATATTACAAGTAAAATTTTAATAACAAAAAAAGTAGATGAAAAAATTCATCTAAAAGTAGAAATATTATTAAACTAAGTGAAAGAAAATACGATAAAAAACGAATTTTCTCTTCAAAACCAATTAGAACTGATTTATATATGTTATAACGACCCATTAATCAGCACGCAAGCGATAAAAAGCATGGCAAATACAATGTGTCAGAAAGAATAAAAACAGTAAACAAAGCCAAGTGACATAGAAATCATTAATAATCTCAATTCAATTCTTTTTATCGTAAATTTTTATATTTTTGAAGCAATACTTTTTTTCTAATTTATAACAGGTTTAACGAAATATATTAAAACATTAATCAGAATAATGAGTGTAATTTATTATCATAGGTTGTCAAATTATTAGAAAAATAATGGCGCATGAAAAATATAGCATTTCCCAGAGTTTAAATGTCAGGATTTTATAATCTTTTGTATTGAATATATTGTATCAATGACATGTTTGCTAGTAAAATTTCAAAAGCTGGTGTTAAATAATGTAAATTTTATATTAAAACTATTTAATAAATCTAATTACTGTTTGTTGTACAAATATCATACTTTTTCTTTAGTACATAATTAGTAAATAAATTGATTTTCATGTATATTATTGACAGAAATCACCATCCGAAATCCCTATTGTGAGTCTGGTCGAACCCACAATGGGTATGAAAAACGGCCCTCTTAGCGCAACAGGGCGGAAAGGGTCAAAACAAAATTAAATTTTAAATAAAGTACTGTGCGTATTTGCAATAAACTTTTTAAATATTTAGTTGATTTGTTTCTATTTAAGATAGCTTCTTTTATATAATACATTTGGAATGTTACGAAAAGGTCTCAGAGAGCCTCGAAATGCCGAGTTTTGCCAAACTCTAACTTGGACATTATAGAATAGCAGTTTCCATGGTAAACATTAACATTTAAAAACCCATCGACTGGCCGTCTGTTATATACTCCTACACCAGGTACTTTCAAATCCAAATTTGAATCAGCTATTAGGAAAGAAAGAGGTGTTAAAGTTGTGTATTGTAATTTTATTTCTTTTAACCAGAATTAGGTCATGGTGCCAAAGGCGAGGATAGCATAAATTCACTAAATATTTCTTCCTGAATAACCTGAGTTGTTATATGCCGTAAACTATGGTACGTGTTTCAAAATTAAGATCGTACCAAAGAAAAGTTTTTGACAATTTTTCATATTTGGGCATACAATTTTTACAAGTATTTGGGCAGAGACGAGCCTAAAAAAAACCAAATCTGTTGTGTAATCTTGTGTTCCTGTGGTGCGTGAAAAAGACGGAATTTGAAGACTTCAAAATTTGTGTTTGTCTTCTACTTGAGAATATTTTTAATAAAAGTATATTAATTTACATAAGTTGGATAAATAGATTTAATAATAAAAGTAAAAGCAGTAAACGTTCTCGTTTTCTTTAAAGTTTATAACTAAGGCTTATTATAATTTTTTTTTCAAACAGGAACAATTTTGAGAAAATATTCACAACAGAAAATAAATCGGTACTTTTAAAATATGACAATATATTTGAGGAAGTTCCTTCCGCTGCCACTAAGCTTGCCTTACGTTTCTGTTAAAATATCTGAATGAAAAAATAAAACATCTAAATTAGGCTACATGCTATAAATTTTCGGAAAAAACATCTAGACAACATTAAAAGTACTTAGATCTAAATACAAAATATTTAGATTGATAACAGTGAGTATAACAGAAAGGATATTTTAGTTGCCAAATTGTCATTTTACCCGAGGCTGCACTATTTTTACTTCTTGTATATTCGGCATTTTTAAAATTTTATCAAATAACCGGGACAAAATGACAAACTGGTCAGGACGCAGAGACCACATCATCAAACCGGGACAGTCCCGGTCAAAACGGGACGTCTGCCAAACCTATTTGTAACATTATAAAAATACAACACAAAGACGAAAGCAAATCCCAATTTTAATTAGGAAATATTTAATTTTTGACCAATCAAGAAGAGGATAAGTTACATCAGAAAATATTTTCAACATATAATTTTGGCAATTCAATGTTTCCTTCAAATTCTTTTCCGCGTGCTTTACGAAACCCAAGTGTGTTTTCTCCTTTAATTGTTTTACTTTTCAATGAAAATAGTTTTGTTTACAGTTATACGAGAACAGCTCTCACTTAAAATTCTGAAAACTTACAATTAAAAAAAATCAATATTACAACTTGAAAAGGTGTTAAAAATTGTTAGAAACTACGCAATTCTTCAATTAAAAATGAATTAATTTTCCAAACTATTTTGTGATATATTGAATATCAATAAGATGAGAGTGCTTACAATTAAATTGGTTCAGAGCACACAATACACAGAGCACATGGAATTAATCACGGTTATATGATCTTTTCGTTCTCTAATAACTACAAACATTTTATTTGCTAATTGTAATCTATTTACGTTTATATACATAAATCTCTTATATATCGTAGTAAATTACTTCGCAAAAGGAATTAAAATTATTTCCAAACATTTAAATTTTGATGCTTTTCAGGCATTCACTATATTTTCCTATTACACTGATATCTTTTGTTTATACTCTGCAGTAGAGTTGCCAGATTTTCCGGTTTTCTGCTATTGTTCTGAATTTTTTGCGACTCCTATCTAACGATAGGACTTTATTCTAAAACAATTTTTCTACATTTTAAATGTATTTCTACGTCTATTGTATGTCCTGATATTAAAGTGTGCCAATATCTTTCGGGAAGAACTCATTTTCTCTCTGATTTTATCCCTAAATATCTGGCAACCTACTGTATATTGGCATATCTGTATAATGTAATCCATATTTTCTTTGAAAGATACAAATGTAATTTATTAATTATTAATTATTTCTATATTTAAACAATTATAATAACGACCATTATATCTTTTCAGATTCTCTAAATGTTTTCAACAATGACATTAAATCAGGTGTTGAATATCACCAATTCTTCGCCGGTGGATATCTTCAATTTCAGCATTGATCAAGCCATTGGCATCTTAGAAGAGTATCTTCTGCGAGATCATAATTTCGACGGAGTAACCGAAATTATTGTTGTCATTTCTTATGTATTTTTAATGGCAGTGGGGATTTTAAGCAACATTTTAATATCATACGTTATTTTAGCTAACAGACGAGATAGATCGTATCGAAATCTCTTTATCCTTAATTTGAATATATCTGATATTGCTCTTTGTGCTTTCTGTATGCCCTTCACTCTTTTCGAACTCTTAAGACGTAGTTGGCCTCTTGGTATCCTTATGTGCAAGCTTGTGCCTTTTGTTCAAGGATCGACCGTTTTTGTTTCTGCTGCTACAGTTACAGCTATAGCGTTAGATCGCCATCACGTTATAGTTAATCAGAATCCAAACAGATGTAAGGAGAACAGAAAGTATATTAGCCTGTACACGGGAGCAATGTGGATTATCTCGCTTATTTTATCTCTACCGATATGTCTATCGCAAACTATAAAGTCGGTAGGTCTGCCAGGAATTTTAGTTTATGAAAAATGTATAGAACAGTGGGCATGGCCTCACAGTAAAGGTTTGTACACTTTAATGATTATGACCGTCCAACTTGTAATTCCAGCAACAGTATTAGCAGTAATGCATTTTCGTATCAAAGCCCATCTTAACATGAGTATTGCTCAGCATGATTCTTCATGTTCTGAACGACTTAATAAAGAACTATCGAGAAACAGAAGAGCCACTATGATCCTTTCGACTATAGCTATTGTCTTTACAATTAGTTGGCTGCCGTGGAACGTTTTAAATTTGGTAGCTGACTTTCATCCCTCCTCTATGTCACCGAGAAATTTGTATGTTGCATTTGCAGCTTGCCACCTAATAGCTATGACTTCTGCTGTGACTAATCCTATTCTATACGGTTGGCTTAATACAAATATCAGACAAGAATTAATTCGGATGGTAACTGCTTTTTTATCAATGAAAGGAAATAGTAATATTCGAATGGAATTTGACGATTCCAACGTCAGAACTGCACTAGCAGAAATGACTAACGTAGAAATTCGTAAAAGTCCAAATTTAGAATTCAATGTATAAATTTTCATCTGCTTAATAAACTTTAAATACACATTTCATTGATATCACAGAAATATATATATACAGTATATTAATATAAAAAGAAAACAATAGCCTAAAATTTTAATTTTAAAAGCACTATCATATACTATATGTGATATATTTATCAAAATAAATTCGTGTTTTATAATATATAGAAGACATTTTAAGAAATGTAAGGTGCCTTACATCGTGCTAATTAATAGCAAGATTACGAAATAGTGTAACGTTCAAAAATTCTGTTCCACATCTATAAAATAGTGTTTTATTTTTCATTGAAATGTCTTTCCGAAACAAATTATGGCAATCTTGTATTTTCAATCAGTGATATATACGTGTGTGTATGCTAAATTTTATGTAAAAGATGATAATTCTCCGGAAAAAAATGAAGATTACGATCTGAAAATACAAGATATTTGATTTATTTATTTATAACTTTTATAAATTACGTCTACAATATTCAATTATTATGGAAAAACGATACTTAAAAACTATATAAAAACTCTTGATTTGTAGTTTTATAAATAATTTTCTTTAATACCCGATGTGATATAACAAATATTTTACTAAAATATCCAAAAATATTGTTTTCTTGTATTTTCTAATCAAATGTTGACTGATAATACGGCAACGAAAACACGTGGACGGACAATGAGGTGAGGAACAAGGCAATTGTTCCCGAGAACAATAGAAGAAAGTCATGAAATAAATCTAAACTAGAAATATCTTTCTGTATTTTTCCTCTTGAAATGTTTTAACATTTAGAATTTAAAATAAAATAATTTGAAAATATTTGATTATACTTCTAGCTGTTGTCTAAAATTTAATGCTTCTTAAACTTCTTCAAACATATCATGCTACAGACTACAGATTTTAAACACTTTTCTATAATATTTATATTTTAATATAAGACTATATTATGATGTAATATGACGTATTACTCCCGAAATTCTTTCCTACATCGAAATTTATGATAGGTATACATGCAGTTCCGGGATTTACCATGGTGTGACATTCTTGAAGGAAGTATTGTAAATGGAATATAAAGTTTCTTGCATAATGCAAGAAACTTTATATTCCATTTACATATGGTACATATTGCAATTCATAGTAATTGCGAATCGTAAGTTGGGATCGAAGATTGCCCTTCAGCAGTAGTAAAATAACTTATTCTCGGATATATTATTGATTGCGTGGCGAATTATTGCCTTAAGAACTTTAACATTTTGTGGAAAAAGATTGTGGATCGTCCACAAAATATTGAAACTCTTAAGGCAAAATTTGTCATGTAATCAATAATATACCCGAAAACATACTTCGAAGATGTGAAGATGTGTTTGCACAGAAAAATCACTTGCATGATGCCATCTTCAAAACAAACGGAAAACTATGTACAGTACATGAAAATTCTTTTTAAAATATTCAAAAGTAAATAACGATCTATTTATAATCGGCCATTTTTGCCGTACCCTGTATAATAGCCATTTCTTGCTCACGCAAAATTGTTCTGAAATTACACTGTTAGTACTCATATATACTTCTAACGATTCCATTTCGCTAATAAAATACATACATACTTACCTAAAAATAAAATGTGGAACAGTTTTTCATCCTGGAAAGGAAGAAAAACAGATCGAGAAAGAAATGCGTGTGAGCTATTTCTTTCTTCATTTACAAGTGTTATAAAAAATCACTGTTTACTTCGTTATTTAACTTATTCCTCGTGTAGGGAATATAAGCGTTGTATGGTCTTAAAACCATACTATTATATATATTAAATAGGGGGTATGTTATTCTAGAAAAAAGCGAAACGAACCGTTTAAGACCATAGAATGAATTCATCTAAAACATTCCTAAATAAGCTAGGATGCAATTCTTGTTTTCAAATTTACAATAAACAGAAAACAACCTCGACTGTATGATCCAGAATACTTCTAAAAACATTAATCATATCAGGCTGAACAGATTCTCAACCGGTTTTCCGATAAGAAACTGACATTATCTTATAGATTTTTTTAAAATTAATCATAAATGTTGTCTTAAAACTACTGCAATGGACACTGGGTTAAGATGAAAATATTGTGGAAAAAGTTGTACTGAGTTGTGCTTTCAAACAATATAGTAACAATATTTATTAAAAATAAACCAAGACAATATTCTTAAGAACATTCCATTCCACAAAACATATGGCGCCATCAGAGCAAGAGTGATCCAAGTCCTGCCTTTGGTGTTACAGCCTTAGAATCTGGAGTTTTCTTGAAAGTAACTGCTTTATCTAAAGCAAATGTAGATCCAATTCGCATTTGTTGTAAAATCCCAGGCCTAAAAAGAAGAAACAAAAGAAAATATGGGAAACATTCTGTTATATTACGTTAATTATCTCAAAATTAGGATTTACCGACATGGATCATTCTTGCTCTGGTCGTCATATCTGAAATTCATTTATTTGATATAATTCTAGAAAAGAAACGGGCAAATATTTATTGTGATATCCTCACAATATCGGCAATTTTTAATCATTTTTTTTATTTTTATTTTTTTTTTAATTTAAAATAAATGCTCTCCGCCTCAAATTAGTCTCTTGCCACTGTACATCATACTTTTCTTTTAGCAATGGAGTCGTCATCTATCTAATTCCTTTCAGGGGAAATTTTTGAATTGAAATAACGTGACTCAGTTTACATCGGTAATTCATATATAATTAATAACTTTCTAAACTTCGCAGATTTATTTCTGTTTATGGGACATTATTGCCATTAAATTTTGGTGGTTAAAGGTCGAGGGATAGGGAAATTGAGAGAGGCCATGTCATATCTGAAGTAGGGTCGAACTTAATAAAACTTTTACTCGTTATTGGCATTTACAATTTGTTTTGTTTTGTTTTTTTTTAAAAAAAAAACTTGTCTCTATCTTAAAAATTAAGCCTTTTGCCTTATTATAATAGGTAATAATATAAAAATTAATTTTAATAAAATCTTGTAAGAGATGACTCCACACAAAATTTTAATTTAGTTTTATTTATAGTAATGTTATGAATTTCAGTTCAACTCTTCTAAAATCAACCATTCTTCTGCGGACTTTCATAAAATTTTAAGTATTTTAAAAGCGATGAAATTTCGTACGTCGTATCATCTTAGTTCTCCTGTTTCTTTTTGCGACGTTCAGGTAAACGCTGCAATCTCAGTAAATGAGCTTCAGCCAGAATGCTGTTAATGTAACTGTATTCACAGCTTGTATTATTGTCTCCATTTGATTTAAAAGTTCTAAGCTTCTTTGCATCACCATTATCGTCACATTGCACCGATGTGATTCGTTTTTCCTTTGAAATGGATGACGTTTCACCAGCAAAATTCGCTTCATTTCGTATCTCAACTTCTTTTATTTCTCTGTCTTCTTTATTCTTGTCATCTGTTTTTGCCCTTTTTTTATTTACGTGATCTTCTGACAGTTTCTTTCTTTTATTTTGCCTTCGTCTTGCCATTTCTTGTAGAATGTATGAAACTTCAATTATAAATCAAATCTGAATTGTTGAATTTATAATGAACGGCAAAAGAAATTGTTAAATAAGAATTGAAATTCTTTGTTGACGTTATCTCAACATTTACTTAATTTTAGAGGGGAAGAATGTCTCTCGCGAAGAATTTCTATGAAAACTGTTACCTATTTATGGGATGCTCACGTGAGAAAATGCAGAAAACTCCAGACTGGAATTTTTCAAAATAAAAATAATTAAATGCAAACATGAACTTTTCTAAATTAATATGTAAGTTTTGTATAAGTTTGTTTATAATTTTGAATATTTTATTATTTAAACCAGAGTTTCTAATCTGGTCTCAAGAGATCCCAAAAGAATCATTCGATTTATCTGGAAGGTCGAGGATCCTTTAGTGGTCGGTGGATAAATATGTTTTTTACTATATTTTAAGCTATAATAAAAAATAATAATGATAATAACGATTAATATATCTTTAAATTTTAATAAAACAAGACACAACTTTAAATTTTGATTTATACTTAATCAATGGAAGTGTCGTAAAATTTTTATTTCATCCTACTTATAAATTATTCTTATTTTAAATCAGTTTAGAAAGGAATTGGAGAATTAAATCTAATTTTGGAAGGATTAAATAAGAAAATAAATAAAGAAAAATCTGATACAACATCAATAAAGAATTTCAATTCTTACTCAACAATTTCTTTTGTCATTCTTTATAAATTCAACAATTCACCTTTGGTTTATAATTGACGCTTCATATATTCTACAAAAACAAAACAAAAAATGCGGCAGGACGAAATCATAAAAAGAAAAAGAAACTATCAGAAGATCCTGTAAATAAAAAAAGGCAAACACAAATGAGGAGAATAAAGAAGACAGAAAAATAAAAGAAGACAAAGTTGCGGTCCAATGTGCAACAAATAGGAGTGGAGAAGAAATTGAAAATAAATTAGCTTTACCATTTCTTCGAAATGACATCCACTTTAAAGGAAAAGCAAATCACTTCAGCAAAGTGTGATGATAATGGCGATTGTTTTGTAACTTTTGAATCAGATGAAGAAAATAATATAAGCTACAAATACAATTGCACTAACAACGTATTGGCTAAGGCTCGTTTTCTGAGATTGCAAAGTTTATCTAAACTTGGCAAAAGGAAGCGCGAGAACTAGTGGCGTGCCGAGAAAGGACTAAGGCAGCAGACTAGGTTAGTCCCCTAAATTCCTTGAAGTACCTTCAGAATATTATTTTTAATGCATTTCATGAAACTTTTCACATCATAAATATGTATTTTTCTCTATATTTTTCTCATCCGGCCTCCCCTCCTTTACGCTGAGTTCAACTCTTTCACGAACCAACCTGAATATCTCTCGAGGCTCCTTTAGTTGACTCTGTATAGAACTACTTGCAGACTCCTGTTCCTCTCATACTGTTGTGTTTTGTGCACGTTCTGAAATAAGAGATTTTATTTCCCATGCTTATTGAAAACGACATTGCATTAATGATTTTTGTATTTCTATTATCATAAAACACTTAAAAGTTTTCATCCAAAGTGTGGCTCTGTAGATGAAAGTGCTGTATTCTGGATCGCCTGCTTGAAACGTCGTTTGGAGCATTAAGTTTCAAAAAAAAAATCCGACAACGAATTGCTTAACTTTCCCGGCAACATTTAAAACTGCATGTGACGCCATCTATTACGATATCTTACTTTAAATATTTTTAATTATAAAAAAATAGTACATGGGTGATCTGGCAAGAGGAATGCCTCCCGGGAAAATTTTATGGGAAAGTGGCTTCTATTTAGAGGCTACTAAACCCAGAAATTCCACGTGGTCAGCCCGTTGTTCAGGCGTGAACCCGCAATTAACTACCAGTGTTCAATGATTTATCCACTCGACCACTGGTAGGCCATAACTTCAAAAAACTTCTTTGGGAAAAGGTTCGACCCAGATAAGTCAGAGACCTTTTCTCACCAATTGACCAAATCTACGATGAGTATGATTAAAATGGCCTTCTTACTGCTCACAGGGCAAAGTAATTAAAAAATTAAAAAATGACAGCCTAAAGTTATATTGGTGCTTATGATTTATGAACAAATTTATTTCTCAAAAAAATCATGAATCGAGAAAATGTTGTGACAATATCAACAAAGAATTTCAATTCTTATTCAACAATTTCATTTGTCATTCTTTATAAATTCAACAATTCACATTTGATTTACAATCGAAGTTTCATACATTCTACAAGAATTGGCAAGACGAAGGCAGAATAAGAGAAAGAAACTGTCAGAAGATCCCGTAAATGAAAAATAAGTTGCGTAACTTTCCCGGCTGTTGTGTTTACATAACAAGGGAAAGTATTGGAATCGTGTCAAATTTGACACTCCGAACTTTTTTGCAAATCTCCACATTTAGAGACTTCCATAACTCAAAAAAGTAAAAACAAGAAAAAACTTTCGTGGATGTGGGTGTTTGTTAGCATCTATTTCGTTTAATATCTCAGGATGGGGAAAATAATAAAAAACGAAATTTGGCATGGTAGCTTTTTATAACAGGCATTAATGCTATTACATTTTGGTGGTAAAAGTCGTTGAAGTGAAGAGATAGAAGATGGTCCCTTACCATATTAATATCTCGAGTGGGGCCAGACTTAAACGTTTTACTTGTTAGTATTTAGTTGTTTTTTTTTAATAAATTTAACCTATTTTTGAGAGTCTTCAAAATTCATTTCAATGTACATTTTCATAATAGTACGTGAGTTTTCTATGAATTTACTTCTCCCATGTACAATTTTGGAATTTTGGCACTCCATTATGTTAGTATGTGTCTCTTGCCTTTCCATGGCCCTGATGCATATTATTGGTTTTCTTTAACTAAAAAAATTTTATTTATAAACTAAACAATTGTAAGTAATATAAAAAGCTAAAATTATTTACAAAAAATTGTTATAAATTACTAAAATACACGAAGAGTCTCGCGAAACGCCGCAAGTTTTTCGTATAGGATATACAGTACTGTGCACATACACTGATAATACATACATGAAATAATATTGCTGCTTTTATTTAGATATATATACATTAAATGAAATAGAATTAAAATATTTCAAGCCGTGCAGCACTGAAGTATATAAAAAGTAAACAATTTATTCTAGATTTCTACTATTTTCTGTAATTTCAAGCAGCATTTAATCAGTTATCGTCGTCCACGTCAAAGAGAATCCTATCTAATATCGAAATATATATATATATAATATATTACAGAAATCATATACAATACTGTGCCGGGATAATCTGATAGAAGAAGTCATTTTGTGATCTATTGTAATATTTTCGGGGAACGTATCATGTCCTAAATAGTTTAGAATAAGTTTTCTTTTCTCTTTTCGTACAGCTTAATAGAATAAACAATGAGCGAACGTGTCTGAAAAATAATAACAATGTTTTTAAAATTGGCCAATAGAGGTCGCCACATATCAGAGAAGTCTTCAAACTATTAGGCACTTTTTTTTGTCAACCTTAACTTCTATTAATATAAAAATGTGGACATTTAGAATCTTCTCGACACTTTTAAAATTTTATTATAATAACAAGATACATAATGCATATAAAAATTGGCTGATTTTGTGGATTCTTAAGGTATGGGAGATCAAGAAGGAAATGCCTTCTGGAGTTCTTTCTATGAAAACTAGTCCGTATTTAGACGTAAAACTAGAAAACTCCGTGGCCAGTCCATTCGTGATGCACGAAACCATGACTACTACCAGTGTTCAGTGATTTTATCCAGTCGGCCTCTAGTGGGGCTGTGGCTGAAGCACTATTAGATTGAGAAACATACTGTATTCTTTCATGTCATAAGAGGCAAATAACAAGGTTAGCAATTTCCTGATAATCCGTAAAAGACTGTCATTATTACCAAACTAGTCACAGTTGCCTCGAAAATGGAAACACACATACAAATGTGCTGCATACCATCTGAATACGTTTCATAGATATACGAATTGGAACATATACAGAACTTGGTCACAATATAATATCCATATTCCACACTGCATGAAGATGGCTCGATGTGGGTGAAAAATTAAACCATATATCATTGGATCTGCCTCACAGGACATATTTGGCGCAAGATTTTAGAAGAGAGAACGAGAGCTTACTTTAATTTAGCTAACTTAATAAATACTCAGAAACTAAAGGAATAAACAACTCATATATAAATTTGTATTAACTTTTAATTTAAAAAAGTACGTAATAAATATAAATTAATTGTAAAGTACATATTCTTTACACCTTCAAGTATATAATCAACAATTCATCAAATATTTATATATACTTTATAAAAAAATAAATACCATTTAAAAGAAATTTCCATTATTAAAAAATGTACATTAATTTTGGTTTCTTTATCATATTTTTAACTTTTTGGTTCGAATTGTTAAGCTAGGCGACTAATTTATGTAAATTTTTATCTAATTGTTTTAAAGGACGATGATGCACAAACAATAATTGTCCATTCGGTAAGAAAGTATTAACAAGAGAAGCAACTATCTCCACTTTGTTTATCGGTTCCATTAATATAACATTTGCAGCCGGCAAATACTCCTGCAATTTTGCAACCAGCGTTATCAGAATGCGTCCTGCCAGAACTCTATTCTCGTGTTTTTCACAAAGAAGGATATAAATTCTTCCTTTTAACGAATGCCAACAAATGACTTTCTCTTCTCCATTTTTAAATCGATAAGAAAACACTCCACCTGTTTCGTGTTCTCTCGAATCTAGAAAGGGTTCGATGGTTCCAAACGGCGAAGGCAATACGCACGAATTATTAAAATCGAATTCTACTTTAACTTTTCTCACCACGTCTTTTTCCAATAAGTTTCTCTGTTTTCTAATGAAAGAAATGGAGTCGCTTCCTTCTTGTCCCTCTTCTTTCTCGCATTGCGTATTTATAAACGTTTCCCCGTATATCACTGAATATAAAATAACTGGCGACTGAGCTGCCGAAGCGATTATAAAGGCTAAAACCATCTCCACCGCTTAAAAATCACATACAAATTATAATTAAAATGTTTTTACGTTACATATAGTGCAAAACATGTGATCTTGACATGTGATTACATACAGAAATAGTCGTTTAGATTTCACGTCATTTTCGTACTATCACTATTTATTATTAATACATAATATGAAGTAATTAATATAAATATAAACTAAAATACGTTTTAAAAAATTGTATTTTAAATTTTATTACTTATTTCTTCAAAATTGTGCCTAGAAGTATATTTCCGAAACTAGTTCTGAATATCTGAAGAGATATATTTAATTTCGTAAAAATAGTATCTTAAATGATTTTATGTTAATAATTAATTTTAAAATAAAATATCTTTAAAAATAAATTTTCTAAAGAGTTATTTTACAAAATTTATTAACTACATTATTATTTAAGACATATAATATCACGTGATATGCGTAATCCAATCAGATTTAACTTTCGTCGTCTCTCTTGCTAAAAAATCATATGATCGAGAGTCGAATAATTTGTCTATTTCACAACTTATTAAAGAAATTTTTTTTAACCCGTTTAAATTATTTATAAATCAACTGAGTAAAATGGGCGCTGCAGCTTTACCTCTAATATTATTTACGGTATTCTGGATANTTACTTAGTATATTGGATGACGAAGCGATGTCGTGAATGCGATTTTCTGCCAATTAGCAATCGTGATTAATAAAGGTTTTGGTCGGTGTGAAGTTCAACTCGCATACTCTCACATCACCAACTACGAGGATATTTTTAAGGATTTATGAAAATCGACTGAATGTTTGGTCTTTCTGAAATTCGGGATCTATTTTAGACATTACGAAATTTTTAACGTTACACTTAATTGATTTCTTTGTTCATTTCCCTCTAATATTAGTATTTCTCCGTGTTTATTTTAATGTTTTCATTAATCAAAGAATGTCGTGGTGTCTTCAAGTATAGCACATTTCAATTTAAATTCAAAATTTCACATTACTTCGTTAGAATATATTTTCGTGAAAATAATTTCTATTGATTGGGCATTTTAATTGCTCTGGTCGGATCTGAAATTATATTTTTCGTGTTATTTCCAGACAAAACAATAAGACAATTCTTCCGAAAGGTGACTTATGTGTCTCCGATTATCCTTGATTTGTTTTTTACTCGAAAAAAATGTAAAATAATATCATCATTATCATCATTTTTATTTGTACAAACAAAGTACAGACAGGCCCAGCTTTCGTGCATTACCGGTTATACACGTTTAGTTTACAGTACTCAAGAGAAATGTATTACACTTAAACAAATTATAGATATTAATTAAATATACATACATAGAAATAATTTTTAAGCATATTCAGCAGGCGGAGAAACATCACTTACACAATAAAAGTAATATCTATGCACGTTGCATTTCTTAAAAGTATTTTAGATATTTCTTTCGGTTATACTATAAAAAAGCCCAACACCTATGTTGGATAGGACTTTGTTGGGTACTTTTACCCAACAAAGTTTATAAAAGTCCTATCATGTGTGGAAGTAGGTCAAGATGATATTTTATCACTTGTAGATTATGTTAGTCTTTTTCTTTCCATTAGAATAGAAACAGTCATCATGGCTACAGTGTAAACATCGTTTGTAAACATTGAACAGTTGCCGTAATTTTCTTCAAAATTTTTCAAATTATTTTAAGAAATTCTGAAATTGTTGGGTCTTAACAGTCATCATGTTAACTAGAGGGATAATTTGCAGCTAAAGGAGAATAAGTATTGATAAGTATAAGGTGTGGCATGTTTTATGAACATAATAATATCTGATTTGTATCTCACGTGAAATAGAAAATTCCATAGACAGGAGGTGGGCTCACCAGCCTTTGATGACTTAGGAAAATAGTGGTAGATTAGGTAGAAGCACCAGTGGTAAAGAAATACAGAAATAATATCAAACTAATTTGCAGGTATATGGAAGTTTTGATCATTATTTGGAGGAACAATAGCTCAATAGAAGATTTTGTTAACAAAATCAAAAGTCCATTGGAAGTGAACTTTTTAAACATAACTTTTTGCAGAAAATAAGCAATAACATACCAAAGATTACAGAAAGCCAGGCAGCATCAATTCAAATGTTCACTGATATTCCAATGACTTGATAGCTGATAAATTGGCAACATTTTGTACCTTACTAAAAAGAGCACCCTTGACACAGAACAAGATATCAGTTTAATTGTTCATTCTGCCTGTATACATGGAGTCCTACAGAAGGTTATACAAAGATTAGTTAAAGCCAACTTAAATCAAGAGTGTAAACATAATGAACAATCAAATATTGAAATAGGGCAGAGGGAAATAAAAAAGCAGTACAAGGTTACTGGTAAAACCATAGCAGCTATGATAACACTTTTTAGTGAAAAATATGACATCCAAATTGGGATTAGAAGTTTACTCTTATCGTACAGATGGTTAGTTTTTATCAAAGAACAGGTGCAGGTATTTACATGATCAAATTAAACAAAGAGAACTATGAATTTTTCTATATGGGATCCAAATTAGCTGGAACCTCAGTAATAGCACAGTATTACTTCAATGAGCTCTAGAAAAGAGGTCTCAGCAAGTTGGAACAATCCAGTAATACTCAAAAGCTAGTATGACAAATACTGTCAGACTAGCTGAACAATGTTTTATCAATATATTAGGAAAATATCTGAATGTCATTAATGCACAAGACACATTTGAAACTTTGGTTCATTTTATGTGAATTGAAAGCTGATGTTGGTTTACATCAGGACAAAAATATTTATTATTAGAGAGGTTGGGGCTGACATTTTCATCTTGAAAATGTGAACGTCAGACGTTCAGCACCACCATCCTGTAAGCATAGAAGTTTGACAATGGCATTTGGAACATCAGTGGAATCATGCTTGACGTTCCAAACATCATTGTCAAACTGAACGTCTCACATTTACATTTTCACAATGAAAACATCATTCGCAACCTCTCCATTCAATTAAAGATTTGGCTTCCTGAAGTTAGCATTTTAGTATTAGTAATTTGCTCAGAGTCAGGAATCCCAATGATTTTTTCATTCATGACTGATCAAATAAATATTTTTCAAATCTTGCATTTGTTTATTTTATTCCCCACTCTCTTGCTAAAAAATCATATGATCGAGAGTCGAATAATTTGTCTATTTCACAACTTATTAAAGAAATTTTTTTTAACCCGTTTAAATTATTTATAAATCAACTGAGTAAAATGGGCGCTGCAGCTTTACCTCTAATATTATTTACGGTATTCTGGATAATTGTAGGAGGGGCGGTTCCGTGGTTCGTATCTAAAAGCGAAAATAGAGGGTAAGTTACGTTATTTTTTGTAATATTCGTGCTTTAAAGTAGTCTTATTAGATATAGAGACGGCCATTTTGTCGTCTCTATGTTTAATACTCGGTAAATAACGATATAACAACAAAATCGACATAATTCAAAACTTGTCCGTTTAATCTAATGTATTTTAATGGTAATTTGAGTAATTTTGGCTAAAATCTAGTTTGGTAAAAGTATAGGATTCCCCAATATTATTACATCATTTATCATATCTCTGCTTTGTTTTGATAGTGGCTCATCTAAAAGAAAACTCTTGTTGCTTCTTTTGCATAAATAAACTCCTTCGGTACGGTACTTTTATCATGTAAAATGACACACTTCTACCTCCATTTGATTTCCAACAAAGATTCTATGTGTATTGTCAAATCTTCAAGATCTTGCGTGATGTCCCGCAAAATCCTCGACGGTCCTTTGACTTTTTTACTCCGACGATGGTGATCTAAGGTTCTTATGATGTTTCGACTGTCTCGTTTGGAGCTGCAATCTTTCCCAAATCTGCAAATTAATGTTGTGTTTAATTTTAATTTTCTGTTTNATCATTATCTTTGTAGCGGTAACATTTATGACACGACAAAATGGTCATCTCGTAAATGTTTACTTATTATTGCTCCCATAACAATACCATAGTTATTCTCATATAATTTGACGTATTTCACTTACAAAACCAAATCTGTAGGGCAGAGTTCGAGTAGTTAAGGTGTCGTCACACTGCTCTCCGATCATAGAAACGAATCTGACGAAGGAGACTTTATGTTCACAAGGCAAAAAGAGTAAAATTATGGTCAGGAAACACCGGAGCTAATCTGGGTAAAAAGTATCTTTAGAAATTTTTCTGGATGCTTTGTGAGGGACAGAGCCCAATATATCTAGCCTCGTTTCTTACTTACCGGTCGCTCTGTTGTTTGAGTAGTCGAGCCCACAATGAATATGATGAAAACGACCGTTTGTGCTCACGGGGAGAAAAGGAAAACAAAATGAATGTTTGCAGGGAAATTAACACGAATTTACGTGTGAAGTACTCTTAAGTGATGCCCGTTTGTAAATATCGTTTATTAATTAAGAACTCATACAGAAAATGAACCGAAAAGCTCTCGATATCTTTAGACTTTAATATTAATTAATAAAGATTCACGTGTTCTAAGATCAGTCATGACTCTACGTAAGAGTTAATGTGGATTGAACTTGGAACCTTCAACGTTCAGAGGGTTTCAAAGAAGTAGAAAACGGAAAACGCAATTTAAAGAATTTTTTATTTTCGTTACATTAGGAACTTGGTGTTTTAAACTTTTATGTGAAATAAAATTTGTAGTTATATAAAGCAAATATTACCGGTATAAAATAATATAAAGATTAGAAGTACGAAAGAATCTTAATGTTTGTTGATATTCTTTGTTCGAGCAATTCCGGGCTCATCTGCTACTATTATTATTACACTAGCTGTTACCCGCTGCTTCGCTAGCGCAGATTTTGCAAGCAAACCCTATTTACATTCAATATTTCAACAATCATAGTAATTGTTATTTAACACCTACCGCTGAGAATCAAACGAACTATTTTCAATTTGATTATTTTTTGGAACGTTTACGATCGTTCTATAATCGAACCAATAAGCAGAAAGAAATTCGAATTTAAAACGGTTCGAACATTTGGTTGAAAAATCGAAATATATAAAAATATTTATAACAATGTCTGAAATATTATCAATTTAATAATCCTGTGTACTCAATGAAGACTAAACGTAATTAAAAACAAAAAAATCNTATTCAAAATACAACATTGACAAAAATTACAATAAGCACAAGTCTATATTCTACAATATTAATTTTTTATTTAGAAGTTTGCTTTGTTGAACAATAATATTAATGACATCATCAGAATGTATTTCGTTTAAAAAATCCTTCTCCACTGACATTAACACAAAGTCTTCTAGATTTTCTTGCACGATACTTATAAGTAGATAGATAGATCTTCGCTTGATAAGTGATCTTAGCTTGATCTTAGATAGATAAGTAGATCTTAGCTTGCTTTTAATTCATTTTAACATAGAAAAGCTTTGTTCACCGGACACTTGTGTTACAGACATAGATAGCACATATTTGTATGCTTGACCAAGTATAGAATAAGCACCACTTAACATGTTATATCTGAATAATATATTATAACAACAAATAGAGAAATTTTTGCAAGCGATGCAGTAAGAGGATAAAATCGCATCTTTATTAGTTTCTACTTGATCATCAGTAGAATGTTCATTTTCGTTTAGTTTTATAAAAGTTTCATTGATATTTTCCTTTAAAATATTTCATGACGATTTAAAATGTTGCAATTCTGAAATGATATTGTGTTGAGTAGCTACTGGATTAAACTGTATTAAAATACTGCTTAATTTTTGAAATGCGTTTTCAGGAATTGATGGTCTCGTAAATTTTGGTCTGATGTGCTTTGAACTCGCTGTAAGATGACAGTCGAACTCTCCCCGGTTGCACTCTCCCCCACCTTCCATGATCTAGATCGAGGACGTGTGAATTTGGTCCGGGAATGCGACAATTAAATCGTCTTACACTCGTTCTTGTTTACGAAATAAATCATCGATTTATTAGCTTTAACTCCACAACCAGTTTCCCATTGGAGAGGGGGTGAGGTCCCGGCCTCACACTACAAAATAGATTATTTTTAATTAAATCGCTTGGAATACAAATTATTATTGAATAAAATTTTTACTTGCCTAAAATAAATAATATAAGTGGCCATTAAAATTGTTATGACTACAATCATCGCTTTGGTGGCTAGGTATAAAACTAATAACTTGCATTTCTATAGTTTAGCATTAATTAAGATTCATAGAAGTTGTGAACGGTTTCTAGCAATATAAACAAATGACCAATTTTCTCTGTTTAGAAGGTAGTTTTGATTATTTTTCTCCTAGGATGCTTTCTGTTTGGGCCGAATCGGGCTAATGTAGTGTTTGACTCGGATTGGCCGAACTAATTTAACTTCGGATACGGGTAGGACCGGGTAAAATGATACAGGCCTACACACAGTACCGTAACTAGGCAGGTACACCCGCACAGGGCCCATTTGGAAGAGGGTCCCAAAATGCACGTGTTTGTTTTATTATTTTCCCAAACCTAATTAATTAAGGGGCCTAAATGCAAGTTCTTGCACAGGGCAAAGGAATGGCTAGTTACGGCACTGCCTACACTTATACCTATATTCAGTGCCGGCCCGAGGCAAGTTTTAGGATGGAGCAAGATCCTATTATGGCGCCCAGGAGTGGAACCTCGCCCACGCACTCGAACTACGAGCGTCTCAACAGATAAGGCCATTCACATACTGGCCACACGCTTGCAATTAAAATATCGAAAAGTGAAAAAATATATTTTTTCTTTAATTTTTTTACCACTGAGGCGGCCCTAGAACTTAGCGCCTGGAGCGGCTGCTCCATTCGCCCTATGGTAGGGCCGGCTCTGCCTATATTATATCTAAAAATTGAAATTTACCTTATTTAACAAAAAAAAAATAAATGAATTTTTTAAAATTAAACTTAACCAAANCCACATGCTAACCAAATTTTGTTTGAATCAGAGACCCAAATGTCTGACCCTCTGTAAGTGTCAGCTCTTAACTTTAAACCTTCATATCTAAAAAGTACAATTATAAGAAGATAACACCTTTATTTATTTACTTTTCTGTAGTTTAAATTAAAAATACATACAGTGATGCCTCATATAACATACTTAATCTGTTCCAGGTGCATGTTCGTTAAGTGAAAAGTTTGTTATATGAAACGCATTTTCTCATAGAAATACATGTTAAAACATTCATTCCGCAGCATAAAATAACTGTACTGTACCATAAAAAAATGAAAATGGAGCAGTCGCCAATTATGCTGGGTAGTCAGATGTTGTGAGGAGGAGGTGGAGAAACACTTTCTTCACACATTCATAGAGACACACGGTCTAACTCAATAAGTTACTTGAGTTAAATAGTTATTATTCTTTTGGAAAATTTAGATGAGTTTTTGTTGGCAAATATACTGGAAAAAAGGTTTATTGCATTTTCTATTAACATTCGAGGAAAAGGTAACTTTTCTTTTAAGTTCATGGTTAAAAAGAAATGAAATTTAATTTTGAAAAATTCTACTTAGAATTACATTTTGTATAAAATTTAACTTGATTTTAGCACAGCTATAGAGGGTTGTTTCAACTTTATGGAAACTATTTAAAATTTGCACTTGAAAGTTTGAATAACATGGTATCTGTAAACTGCAACCTTCTCCAAGTCAGACCTGTCATAATGAAGAATGTGAATGTCTTGGTAAATAGAGCAAACACTAGTACCCAAAGAAACGTTACAGACTTCATTATTAAGAGTTAATCACCTAATTTCTAATTTCAAAAATCTAAAGCTACAAAAGAAAACAAAAGCAGGTATCCCTCATATAACACAGTAGTTATGTTCTCAAAAAGTGTGTTATGCAAATCTGTGCTATATGAAAGAAAGAGGTAAGGCTAATGTAAAACATAGAATTAGATTACAGAAGTTAGCAAAAGTATACTATTCTTTTTAATTACTAAGAGAAATATGTTTATTAAAGAAATCAATAATTTATTTCCAATCAATAATTAACAATCACAATTAAAGGTACTGTATTATGCATTAATATTAATTTTAGTTAAACCAGGATATTTTCTTTTTACAAAGTATTGTCATTTCAGCTTTTTTGTTGTTCCTGATCAGAGGTATCAGCAACATTTTTGTATTTTTTATTTTTATCATAAAAAATTTTTATGGATGATGAAACAAAAATGTGTTATTAATCAAAAATTTGTTCTACAAGTCACATTTGTTCAGTCAAGTACCAAGCAACTTTTTTCCAGAATTTGTGTTCGAGTACCAAGATACCTCCATATTTCGTTTGTCATTTTACAAATGATTACTTACCTATGGTTAAAAAGTTTAATAGCACTTGCCTAAAAATATTTCAATAAACTTTACTAAATGCAAAGATTAATCTATAAAAACAAAACACAGTGTGTCTTAAAGGTTAAAATCTGAAAGTAGCAACCCTGGCACCTGGTTGATAGGAAAGCTAGGACAAGAAAGAAAAAATTGTGCTATCAGTTTTCATTAAAGTAAACTTGATGACAGGCACAAAACAAATTGAAAATTTCAATATAAAATCCACGAGCAAATTTGATCCAACATGCACACTTGCTTGAATTTTTTAAAAAAATTGAATAATGGAATTTACACTTAAAAATTGTAAAATTTTGTATGGGTGGATATCCCATAATATCCTCAAAAAATGAGATATACCCAATTTTCAAACCATGCAAGAGTGAAACCGTGTTGTGCCAGAGATACGTGTACAAACACCAAGTTCACAAGCTTACCTCTTACCATATACAAAGAGAAAGACCAACTGTTGAAAACTGTAGATGTATCAGTACCTGACAGGTGAGAGGTGGAAGTTGTAACTCTTCATTGTCGGGAAGGTAGTTTGTACTCTACCTTCCAACAATCAAGAGTTATAACAAACTTTGACCTTTTACCTGTCACAGTTCAAACTCACACAAACAAAATTTGAGCAAAATACTACTACCCAAAGGATCAGAAAGAAACACTTTTCAGTTAGATGTGAATGCAAGGAAAGTTTCAGCACACATGCTTTATGATCATTATAGGTTTCTACTATAATGGCATGCTAAAACTACCAAAAGTTGGTTCAAAGGTTAAAGTGAACTAGTTATTCTCAGAGTAAAGTACTGGAGCTCATGTTCAAATATGAAATTCTGTTGTTTTATGATATGGAGACTAGAAAGGTATGGTTCCATTAGAACAAAGCATCAAGTCATACCTCAATTCAATTCTAACATTTGTGAAAATGCTGGAAGAAGAAACCAATGTAAAGTTAACTGTTTTCTGACATGCTTGTTAAATCACCTGATGCATCACCCATGGATTTCTTGCCTTTGGAGTACTATAAAGGGCCTTTGGAAATTGTTGATTCTGAATGTTATACAGATTTTGGAAAGCTTGAAATCATGAATGGGAGACATTGTATCAAAATTCTTTTAAGAAGAATCCTTCTGCCCAAGAAAATTCGATATCAGGCAATAACCAAAAAGTAGAGGAAGTAGATAGAGCAAGATAGAATGAAGGAAGAGATTTTCCTGTACATTAGCTATTAAGAACATTAAGGCCAAAACAACATTCTGTATTCTAAAAAGAAATATAAATTCTATACAAATGTACAGTTATCATTGTAGACATATACTGTATTCTTTTCTATTAAAAAAAAATAAGTGAAAAGCTTATTTTATTGTGACTTTTAAAACTTTCCAAAACAGCAATATTTTAATATAATAAACAAAAGATTTATTTGAAATTTTGTACTGACAGACAACATTGAAGACTTCAAAAGGTTTTCTTCCTTTTTTTAAGTCTTCTAAATGATATTTACAATAAAAGATTTGATTCTTGGTATTCTAATAAAAATTATATAAGAAAATATATTGTTAATAAATGGAAAAAATGAAAAATTACTTTGATCTTTAACCTAGTTTACAAAATAGTATCTTCAAAACTAAAATTAAATATTAGAAAATTCTTTTCTCTTTTGATTATTGTATCTCTTCTCGAATTGTAGACTGTAGTTTAATAAGAATTCTATTTCTTTATAAATAAATAAAACATTGTTGCAAGTTAAATAGATTGTTTCTTTATATATATAATGCAGTTTTAAATATGAAGATATACTTGAAATGTCTTAAATAAAAATATAATTTTCTTACTTGTTGATTTTGCAGATGTGATACTCTATATATAGTAACATTTGAAATTGATTTTCATTATATTCTTATTTTAAGAATATAAAGAAATGAGTATAAAATCTACTATGAAAATAGTAGTATTTATGCTAATTTCTTTATTCTTTTTATGCTTATTTCTTAGTTCATCTGTTAAATTATCTAATGGCAAACTCTACAGATGATAAGTTAATAAGTTAACTTTATAATTATAAGCAAGATAGTTATAATTGAAATTATTTAAATTTATATTATCAAATTTTTCAGTTGGTTGTGTACCTATATGATGCAGATGAATCCTCTCTTTGGACCACAGTTAAGTGGAACAGTTTTGACTCTAATGTATAATGAATGGTAAGTAAACTGTAAGATGTTTTTATAAATTATATATTTGTTCTGACCACTTAATGCTGAATTCAAAACACATTCTGGGAGAAATACTTTTATACACAATCTAATTTTAAGGATTCAATTAATCAGTACTATGTAACCAAATAATATTTTAATGTAGTTTAAACTGTGTTGCATAATGCAGTCAAATGGCCTGAAAGGGAACACCAATAAAAAGTGATCATTGTGTCATTGTCACAATATTCATTTTCATGTGATAAAGTAAACAAAAATTTTACCAGAATTCTCTAAACTGAACTGTAAATTACTTTCACAACTGCCAAGAAATAACCATATTTCCAATAATGATTTTATTATTCACATCAAAAAGTGTAAAAAGCAAAGTGGTACTGTAATAAATGTTCTATTTTGAATAGAATAGATTTTCTTTTCCTAGTAAGCAAAGATGAGTTGACTTCTGATTGTAGAGCAATTCAAACATCTGGTTTTAGCAGGCTATTATACTGTACTCAGAAAATAGGAGTTAAAGTTTAAAGACACTCACTCCTTTAAATAGATGCATTCTCATGCAAACACAAGTTAGTTTGCATATTGGGAAGTGCATATGATGATGCCAAGTTTGGCTACTTTTTACTCTTTTCTCACCAAAAAATATTTTCTACTTTTTCAAGTAATATTTTCTACTAATCAAGTAATCACATTTTTTATTTTTATTTTCTTTAACTATTCTGATATACTACTCCACGCTTAAAGGCAAATACTGTCTCCTCCTCATTTTGTTTCATTTGAAAATCATTTAGAATATTAATTCGTTTTTGTAAATAAATTTAACTTTATTTAGTAAATTAATTCAAAATATTATAATTTAGAGATTTCAATTGCCTATTAATCCTTAACTCCATAAACTATACAACCGTGACCATTTCGATAAAGTGAACTAATTACTGTTTCCCTATGCAGTTCGTTATTAACATGAGTTCACTGTACTACTATTTTAAATTCATACATGTGTGACCAGAGGGTCAGCGCATATAATATCAAGACGGACATCATGGTGTCTCATTTGACATGGAAGCCGAGACAGCATGTTGATTTGGACTCGACGTAGGTCACATGAGCAGCTGCGTGCGTGGGTGATCAGATTTGGGATGGAGACAGATTGAGAGACAGTGCACTGGAAGTACTGCACTCTGACTCTAGGGTTAATAACAAATAATCGTTTAATAATTTCAAAAAAAAAAAGTTAAAAGATACATATCATAATGTTAGATTAACCGACATATTTAATGGAGTGGTCACGAGAGAGAGAGAGAGTTTACATGAGGTTCGCATGTTGAGATAAATACTTGAGAGTATCACTTGTTGGGTTCCAACTTCCCAAGTTCATTTTTGATAATAGGGTTGTCATGCGGACAGTTTGATGATCGGAACAGTTCAGAAAAAGGTGATATTTGGTGATATCCGTTAGTGGGCAAGGTATCCATGAAGGTGATATAGGAACTGATTAACACATTAGAGATGCTAATGACTGGAGACCAGGTGTCGACTTCTTTCCTCAGGAAGGACTAAAACGGTGACTGACTCTATGGCCGTTAATTTCAATACGATATTGCCCAGCTAAGAGGTCAGCAGATCACGGGAATGTGTCGCTTTCGTCGTTAGGAAAGTGTAAATGGAGATTTTCTCAGGTAGCTGAGGATAAGAATTGTTGAGCAAGTATGGTGTCATTGACAATTGATTTTTGTTAAAGTTCAGATTCTCATATATGTATTAAGATGCTTTAAAAACTGAATTCTGAATGGAACACTGTTACCATGGATGATTTAAATTAATAGATAATTCAAATGGATTTAAATATATAAAATACATAATTTTCTGTAACATTTAGTACAGATACTATTATAAATGATGATAATCATGAGGATATTTTTTATTTCTTATTTATTTCATATTGAAAGATGTGTTTTTTTTTTGTAACTTTATACAATCTAAAATAAAGTTTAAAGTTGCAAAATTAAAAAATATATAGATGAAAAACATAATTATTAAATACAAAATGGCAGTATAACCACTTCCCATTAGTCAAAATTGCATAATACAGTGAAACATTGGTGTTTGAACATATTTCAATCCTAAAAGTTGTTCTAAAATTGATTTGTTGTAAAACCATAACAAATTTGCTCATAAGAAACAATGTAATCCATTCTGATTCTCCAAAACAAAGCCTTTTTACCTTTTTAGCTGTATTTGATGCATAAAAATATCTACAAATGCAATTTTATATTAATAATATATATATTATATGAATAATTTTTTTTTATATTTAATTTGACTTAAGCACCTTTAAACATGAATTCTTGAATGCCATTTATATTACATAAATATCAGTTAGTGCCGGTTTTATTAATTAATTTGATTTAAATTCAACTACAGCACATACTAAAAAATGGTAGTGGTATCTTTCCCACATGCATGTTGAAATCTAATTTAAATACAATAGCAACATCAAGTGTCATGATGTCTAATGACAAGGCAATCTCAATGCCATTAACTTCTGAATCAGTGGTCTTGTTGTTCAATTTTCTGTAGTATAGGAGGTGTAGAGTGTCGACCCTCTTTCTCTTCATAATCTGTGGCCAGCTCTTGCCAAGTAACTTGTTTGGTAACCGGTTTAATTATGAGTTCGAAATTCTGTTTGTGAACCAATTTGTTCTAAAAATGAGCCATTCAAAAACTGAGTTTTGACTGTATATATGAAAAATAAATTTTAAAAAACTATATTTTCATCATCTGTTTTTTAAATATTTAAATTATAATATTCTACTTATTAAATATAAGATAAGATTATAGAAGATTGGTTATAGTAACTACAGTAGTAATTTTCTCAATTTAAATTATGATTGTATATCTTGAACATTTACTTTAATACAGTATATATAAGTTAAAGCTTTTTCCTAAGGTAATAACTATATACAAGTAACTTAGATACTAAAATTTAATATTTTATATCACAGAATGAAATACTGTATTAATTGTGTCCCAGTTTGTTGTGATTTATAAATTTAAAATTACATTTTTGTAATTCTTAAACAGACATTATTACAAATTTTACATTATATATGTATTATAAATGATGCTAATATTTACTGTATATAAATTATTTATATAAAAGTTTTTCTACTTTCAAGTTATTTAATAAATATATTGAGAATTTAATAATCTAAAGCATTTATTTCAAATGCTTTTAGATAAGATATTCAGTATTGTTGAATGAATAATTTAATTTCTTTTTTTATCTTGCAGGCGTTGAAAACTTTATTTATACAATAGCCAGTGAAAATTAAAGACCAAAAGACTTGTTTTATTAAAAAAAGAACACTTCATACTTCAAGAAATATTTATATATATACACAGATACGTGTAAATATGATTTATGTATATTATATGATAGAATGTAAGCATGTAAAAATGAAAGTGTAATCAGTATATTTAATGTTTTAAATTGAGGTGCATTTTTGTTACATACTTCAAATAAATGTTACTTATTTGAAGAGTCAAATAAATGAATAAACATAACTTGTTAATTTAAATAAAGTAAATATTTACATCAAATACATCTAAACATCTATAAAAATGTTTCTGTATTGAAATAATCCAGTGTGAAGTATTGTACACTGTATTAGAATAAAATATTCAATAAATAAGAATGTTGTATAATGTAATTTGTCATAAGTTATTGGCCATATTAAAAATCAATACTACTAACTTATTTACTACTTTATTAATTAACAGCAACAGAAAAATTTAAAACGATTCTCATTAATTCGTGATTTACAAATGGCAACTCCTGTGACTTTTACATGTAATTGGACTCCTGTTAACAAAGCACAGTATACTAGAGCACTAGAAGGTAGTTTTGATTATTTTTCTCCTAGGATGCTTTCTGTTTGGGCTGAATCGGGCTAATGTAGTGTTTGACTCAGATCGGCCAAACTAATTTAACTTCGGATACGGGTAGGACCGGGTAAAATGATACAGGCCTACACTGCTACACATATACCTATATTATATCTAAAAATTGAAATTTACCTTACTTAACAAAAAAAAAATAAATGAATTTTTTAAAATTAAACTTAACCAAACGGTACATTATGTACATATTTAGAAAAAAAAGGCCAAATTGTATACGGCCCATGTGGAATTTTCCACATTTTCCACATGGCCAGTCCGCCCCAGCTTACANACAGAATGAAATACTGTATTAATTGTGTCCCAGTTTGTTGTGATTTATAAATTTAAAATTACATTTTTGTAATTCTTAAACAGACATTATTACAAATTTTACATTATATATGTATTATAAATGATGCTAATATTTACTGTATATAAATTATTTATATAAAAGTTTTTCTACTTTCAAGTTATTTAATAAATATATTGAGAATTTAATAATCTAAAGCATTTATTTCAAATGCTTTTAGATAAGATATTCAGTATTGTTGAATGAATAATTTAATTTCTTTTTTTATCTTGCAGGCGTTGAAAACTTTATTTATACAATAGCCAGTGAAAATTAAAGACCAAAAGACTTGTTTTATTAAAAAAGAACACTTCATACTTCAAGAAATATTTATATATATATACACAGATACATGTAAATATGATTTATGTATATTATATGATAGAATGTAAGCATGTAAAAATGAAAGTGTAATCAGTATATTTAATGTTTTAAATTGAGGTGCATTTTTGTTACATACTTCAAATAAATGTTACTTATTTGAAGAGTCAAATAAATGAATAAACATAACTTGTTAATTTAAATAAAGTAAATATTCACATCAAATACATCTAAACATCTATAAAAATGTTTCTGTATTGAAATAATCCAGTGTGAAGTATTGTACACTGTATTAGAATAAAATATTCAATAAATAAGAATGTTGTATAATGTAATTTGTCATAAGTTATTGGCCATATTAAAAATCAATACTACTAACTTATTTACTACTTTATTAATTAACAGCAACAGAAAAATTTAAAACGATTCTCATTAATTCGTGATTTACAAATGGCAACTCCTGTGACTTTTACATGTAATTGGACTCCTGTTAACAAAGCACAGTATACTAGAGCACTAGAAGGTAGTTTTGATTATTTTTCTCCTAGGATGCTTTCTGTTTGGGCTGAATCGGGCTAATGTAGTGTTTGACTCAGATCGGCCAAACTAATTTAACTTCGGATACGGGTAGGACCGGGTAAAATGATACAGGCCTACACACAGTGCCGTAACTAGGCAGGTGTACCCACACAGGGCCCATTTGGAAGAGGGTCCCAAAATGCACGTGTTTTGTTTTATTATTTTCCAAAACCTAATTAATTAAGGGGCCTAAATGCAAGTTCTTGCACAGGGCACAGGAATGGCTAGTTACGGCACTGCCTACACTTATACCTATATTCAGTGCCGGCCCGAGGCAAGTTTTAGGATGGAGCAAGATCCAATTATGGCGCCCAGGAGTGGAACCTCGCCCTCGCACTCGAATTACGAGCGTCTCAACAGATATGGCCATTTACATACTGGCCACACGCTTGCAATTAAAATATCGAAAAGTGAAAAAATATATTTTTTCTTTAATTTTTTTACCACTGAGGCGGCCCTAGAACTTAGCGCCTGGAGCGGCTGCTCCATTCGCCCTATGGTAGGGCCGGCTCTGCCTATATTATATCTAAAAATTGAAATTTACCTTATTTAACAAAAAAAAAATAAATGAATTTTTTAAAATTAAACTTAACCAAATGGTACTTTATGTACATATTTAGAAAAAAAAGCCCAAATTGTATACGGCCCATGTGGAATTTTCCACGTGGCCAGTCCGCCCCTATAGAGCAGTCTGTTTAAATGGTAACTTGGTGGCGTTTTTAGAGCAAAAGTCTATAAGGGAGCACAGAGATGGCAAATTGCATACTCAACTTTCATTCCAAAAATGTTGCAGAATTTTCGGTGTCTATTCGGGTACGTGGGCACACTTCGACAGTGCACCTATGTTATGGTATAGAAACTGGTTAACCTTTTCATTGGTCAGATTTCTAATACAGAATAGGTTTTTTTTTTAAATTGTGCACACATAAGAGAAGCAATTAAATATTTAAAAAACTGCTATATATGAAAAAACAGCTCAGATCACATGTACTGTACAAATTTGCCATCATGATTTTTTAAAAACACAACGGAAAATTTGATTTATCGGACCATCGCAATACATTCGTCGTGTACGTGTATTCGTCGTCGGCTTATAATAATTCAAATATTTGAGTTCCCATTTGTACTGTTCTGGATCCGCTACTGATAATGTAAGAATAGAAACCGATAGTATGTACAGTACAATTATGTGACAGATTTTAAGATTTTCAAATGCATTATAAGTTATCTAAAGCTCCTAAGGCATAAAAAATTAAAGAGAATATACTTTGCAGCGTCATGCTCCATTATCCGAAGTTCAGTAACAAGATCACAATCCCGAGGGTATTCTTTAGCAGACTTCAATATAATTGTAAAATGCATTATTGTTATATTGTATAAAATATAGATTAATAAGCAAGTTTGTTAGAAGTACTAATTTTAATTAATGAAATTCAATATTTGCAAAAAAGAAAATTCATTTTTTTTTCTCTGCAAATTTCCAGTATAGTCGTGCCATTTACGCGAATCCACTTTAACGCCATTGAAAGTATTTTAGATAATTAACTGTATGGAAATGAATGATACTGATAACCAAAAAAAATGTTTTTGATGTAATTAATCTCATATAGACGTAAGTTTTAAAAAAATCTATTTTCTAAAAGAATTGTTTTCTACCTTAATAACTCTGTAAGAATAAAAAATACTGTATTTGAGATTATGGAATACATTCCTATTTTAAGCATCTTTCCACTGCTCTATTTACACACAATCATTAGTATATATGAAGGTATTACTGTATTTTATTGAAATCTGTCAGGAGAGATCGGGTGCATCCCCTTGGAGCCTTCTTATACCTTCTTGCAAACGCGCTATCAAAATTTGCAAATACTACAGAATTTTACCAATATGTAATAATTTCTTTGTGCCTTCTCAGTCATTACTCTCCTTGTGTAATTTTAAACGTACATTTTGCAAGTGTTGAAGCTTGGCTTACCTGATTTACACGTAAATTGGCAGCATTCAAAAACAATGTAAATTACTGTACATGTTTTCTGAGGAATCCCATACAATTTCTTTCATGCTAAAATGTATAACTATAAAACTATTTATTAGTAGCTTTATTTTTGTTACAGTTTTCACTTTAAAATATTTTACAGAAATTTTAAAAAATGACTTTAATTTCGGGAATGAAAAAATGTCATATTCAGTAGAATTTAACCGAAAAAACCGGGAAATTTTTAGGAATGGTGTGTGGGGTCTCGTTCCTCAACATCCTGCCATCCATTGCGGGCTCGGCCAAACTCACGACAATTATTATTTAAAAGGCCTTGTTAGTGTCCGAGGCGGAAAGAGAAAATTGAAAAAAAGAAATAAAAAAAAGGCAACGTACTGTACAATACATAATCACGCTTCCGTAATTTTTAATTTTTTTTTAATATTAAAGGTTTATAATGTCTACGTTTTATATTATTTTATTACATTTCAATCGATTTTAGGAAATAATAAATATATTTCTTTTATTTCAAAGCTTTAAAAATTTATTTAAAAAAAAGTAGTGATGACTCACGAGTCGCTGCGAGTAGCAGTAGAAAATGGTGGACGTGACGGAGTTGTTGCTGCCTCTATGGGCAACTTTGGTGAGAATGTCGTTTATAACTCTTTTTATAGGCTTATACAACTTTATAAACATTACGTGCGTATTATTCTTAACAGAAAATGAAAATGTTTGAAGTTTATTCTGTATTTACATTAACTTAAAATTCAATTTTCACATAGAGTTATACATTTTGGTCAAAGTAGAGAATTTTTAATTATAATTTATGTTCTTGCTGTGAATATTAATTAAGGAGGAATGTTGATGTGGCTTCCTTGGATCGACCCTCTCAATGCTTTATGTACATTTAAATTACATAAAAGCATTAACCAGATCAAAAAGTAATGACATATACTTATTTAAACAAAAATATAATATGAAATTGTGTTTGTTTTCTAGTCCTGATCTTATTATTCAGTTGAAATTATAATAAGATGATGAGTCATAACATTCACATTGACATAATTATGGTTTATATCAATTCTAGAATGCCCAATAATGAATCTTATGTTCTAGAACATAAATGATAGTCCAACTAATTAATTAAGCATGATTAAGATCCAACTGGGAACACGTTTCAGAATTGATGAAAATGGCATCTAAAACTGATTGAAGATTGATTTTACAGTCGAATATTAAAAATGGGCAAAATCGGGCATCCGGTCATCCTAGTTTAGTTGAAGTATTAGAAAGGAAGAGACAAATTTGCTGATACAGTGGTACCTCAGGATACGAAATTAATCCGTTCCGAAACTGAGATCGTATCATGAAAATGTCGTAAGGTGAGTCATTTTTCCCCATACGATTACATGTAAAACAAAATAATTCGTTCCAACACCAAAACACACTCAAATTAAAGCTAAGTAGTACATTAAAAAAAGTATAGTAAGGAAAACACTGAAAAATGCGTTTTGTAGTTGCTAAATATATAAATAAACATAATAGAATAATAAATGATAAAAAAATGTAGTTTTATTTGCACTTTACCTTTGAGGATAGACAACAATGGAGGTGTAAACTAGTGGCAGAAGAGAGGGAGAAGGAAAATGATACTAAAACTTAACTTACATAACATAATGTAAGAATAACTTAAAAATAACTTAACACTAATTTTTTTTTATCTTTTCTGTTTTATATATTTGTTTTAAATATTTTATTCACTGCTTTTTGCTTTCTTTTCTTTACTTCCACCAGCACTTTCACTGGATACAGGTCGCTTGGTAAAATATCTATCCAAAGAGATTTGGCTTTGCCTACTTTTTAAAATGTTTCTAAAATGACTTAGGCAAATGTCATTACTCTGACCAGCAATACGGCCAGTGTGAACCTTTCCGGGATGTTTCTTCTCAATAAAATCAGTCACTTTCTGATAATACCTCGAGATTTCTTTTATCGAGCGAGATCCTTCCACGACGAAGCAAACACGCGGACTGAGACCAATGAACAGAAGTGAATAAAAAATGGCGCTGCGAACTAATGTAACGTCGTATGGTGAGTTTTTGTTCGTATCGTGGAGCAAAAATATGTTCGAATTTCATGTCGTATCCTGAAAATTTCGTATGCTGGGGNTTTTTGTTAAAGTTCAGATTCTCATATATGTATTAAGATGCTTTAAAAACTGAATTCTGAATGGAACACTGTTACCATGGATGATTTAAATTAATAGATAATTCAAATGGATTTAAATATATAAAATACATAATTTTCTGTAACATTTAGTACAGATACTATTATAAATGATGATAATCATGAGGATATTTTTTATTTCTTATTTATTTCATATTGAAAGATGTGTTTTTTTTTGTAACTTTATACAATCTAAAATAAAGTTTAAAGTTGCAAAATTAAAAAATATATAGATGAAAAACATAATTATTAAATACAAAATGGCAGTATAACCACTTCCCATTAGTCAAAATTGCATAATACAGTGAAACATTGGTGTTTGAACATATTTCAATCCTAAAAGTTGTTCTAAAATTGATTTGTTGTAAAACCATAACAAATTTGCTCATAAGAAACAATGTAATCCATTCTGATTCTCCAAAACAAAGCCTTTTTACCTTTTTAGCTGTATTTGATGCATAAAAATATCTACAAATGCAATTTTATATTAATAATATATATATTATATGAATAATTTTTTTTTATATTTAATTTGACTTAAGCACCTTTAAACATGAATTCTTGAATGCCATTTATATTACATAAATATCAGTTAGTGCCGGTTTTATTAATTAATTTGATTTAAATTCAACTACAGCACATACTAAAAAATGGTAGTGGTATCTTTCCCACATGCATGTTGAAATCTAATTTAAATACAATAGCAACATCAAGTGTCATGATGTCTAATGACAAGGCAATCTCAATGCCATTAACTTCTGAATCAGTGGTCTTGTTGTTCAATTTTCTGTAGTATAGGAGGTGTAGAGTGTCGACCCTCTTTCTCTTCATAATCTGTGGCCAGCTCTTGCCAAGTAACTTGTTTGGTAACCGGTTTAATTATGAGTTCGAAATTCTGTTTGTGAACCAATTTGTTCTAAAAATGAGCCATTCAAAAACTGAGTTTTGACTGTATATATGAAAAATAAATTTTAAAAAACTATATTTTCAAGTTCCTTTTCATTGAATAAAAATCATCAACGCGTCTTTAGTGTAAATATTTTCCAAATAAATAAAATTTTCATTTCTCTTTAATTTATTTTAAATCGAATTTTAAAAAACTATATTTTACAGTTCCTTTTCATTGAATAAAAATCATCAACGCGTCTTTAGTGTAATTTTTTAATCAATAAATTCAGTAGCAAATTACGTTCTTTTCAGGCCCTAGGCGATTCTGTTGTAAACCAATTTTGTTGTAAGGCCCTTTATTTCCCCTTTTTGTACTAAAAAACACAATTAAATCTTAAAAAATAACAAGTTTTTTCTTTATAGTATAAGCTTTTTAAACCTTTACTAAAGTTTTAGATGCTTATTACGTAAGTTTTGAGGCCCCTCGAGATGATGAGGCCCTATTGTGAACTTCCGCTACATAAATTAACTATTTTATACGAATAAAACGATATTTTCTTGCAGATATTTTAGAAAAAAATTAAGAGTTTTATTTTTCTTTAATTTATTTTAAGTCGAAACATTAAAAAAAAATTTAGTTTTCTCCCATTGAAGAACACGTCAATCATCCATCATCTATCATCTTTAGTGCTAATTTTAATCGATAAAATTAACTAATTTATAATTTATTTATTTAAATTAAAGCTCGTTTAATTATTCCCATATTTTTAAGCGAAAAATAAATTATATTTAAGATATAATTTTCCTTTTTTTTAAAATTTATTTTACGTAGAGGAAATTTCGTGTGTTCCACTGTTAACCTGTCACGCCGTTTACCAATCAACTTGTGGCAAAAATGTAATACAATACGTGATAATACGCCCACATTTTGCCCACCATTTGTTAATATTTGAAGATTTTTGCCATCAAATCTATCGTGTGTTCTCAAACATCCACTTTTCCGCCTACACATTGATTGCTCGGATCTCTTATCTTTTATTTTTATGTTAGAAAATGTTAGTGGGATGATATTTTCGATTAACCGTGAGAGAAAGGAAGATAAAGGAAATTTTCTTTGTCTACAATCATTTATACCCCTTCTTGATAATATACAAACAAACTGTCACATGTCATCTTTTAATTATTATACAGTTTTAATCTCAGAAATAAAGGTAAACATTGAACAGGATGCGAGTATTTTTAGATATAAAATCTTCTTTTCCACTTATAATTTTTTTAATTAAATAAATTAATAAACAATTTTTATAATAGAGATTTCATTTTGAAAATAGTCACTTAAGTTTTAATTTATAAAAATAGATTTTGATTTTATTCACTTAACGAGGAGGAAAAGGCATTTATGTGAATAAATTCGGGAAATTTTTTTGAGTAACGAACACTGGAGGGATCGTAAAAACCTCCGAACAACGGACACAAAAGGGGACGTAAGAAATGACCGTCTTTGGGAGGTTATTTTGTATTCATTTTCGTTTAAAAAAAATGTTTCTGAAAAAATTGGTCGCTGTTAGACGTGGCCGTTTTTGGAGGTTCGACTGTATAAATATATTATCATTTATTAATTTAATACATTTATATACGAAAAATTTATAGTTTATAAATAAATTTCACTTATAAAATATATATTTTATTTTAAAGACAATTTATCTCTCATCTTTACAGAATTATAACTTGATAACGAATTTTTAATTACAATATACATAATTAAATCTATAAAATAAACAAACTGAATTTTCTATATTTAAGAAATTATGATATAGAATATTTAGAGCCCATGATAAATCTTAATTAATTAAATTAAAATATGATATTTAAAAGTTTCTGTGAAAGGGAGAGGACAGTTTCGACTTTATACAAAAATTAATGAATCTCCCATTACCCACTAATGGGTCACAAACCTAATGAGTGTGGTCTGTATAAGCAGTAGAACTCCAATCGTTGTCATTATACTAATCAAATTAAGCTTACAACACTGTGACTAAAACTCTACACTGCTTAAGTTTACAAGACACACGAACGAGGATTAAGTTGCAAAACCTTTTAACCAAGTCCACGCAACTACATTATATATATATATATATATATTTTTTTTTTTTACTTTTTAAAATAGAGAATTTAAAGTATTTTTCGAATTGAAACAATTTAAAAAATAAACAATTATTTCTCATCAAATTTAAGATAAACAAACAGGTAATTTTTACGACAAACATAAGAAGGTGTTCTACCGTCTTTCATCTGCGCTATCGGGATTAAAGCTCCTTTATAATGTCAACAAACAAAACTAACTCCCCCCTTTTCTATAGTTCAATGACGTCACACCGGTTGCTATGGTTCCTGGCCAGCAACAATTCAGCGATCACGTGATTAAACAGAGAGACTTGGCGATACTTCAGTTGGCAGCTCTGGCTTATTTACCATCCTGCCTCAATTTAGATAATTAACTCAGCTCTGCCTATACCCTGGGGAAGTAAA